CTTCATCAGGGCCCTCGGCAGAGAGGAGTCACACGTGCTGTTTCAAGATTATCCCTAGGGTTCCAAGTACCTCCTGAGAAACTATTTGGACCCTCCAAACCCTTCCCAAACACCTTCTAAGAAGGTACTTGGAGCCCTAGGGTATGGAATGGGACCCCGCCCAAAAGACCTCAGCAGAACACCACGAGCAGAAAGGATCTCTCGTCATCGAGCTCTGCAGATCAGACCCAGAGCATCCACGGGAACGAGTTCCAAACCGGAGGAAGATGTTGATCATATCTATCCCGTCGACACGACCTGTCTGGGACTGGCAGTCCGTAATCCCGATCAGGGCAAGGGGTGGTGCCAGAGGGGTCTGGCTTGATCGGCAGTCCGAACTGACAGTCCCATGACAGGTCGTGTCTGAGAGTATGATCTTTTCCCGTTTTCTTCGCTGCCAAATCCAAGTCATCTACGTGGCGTATCGTGGCGTAACTCTCGGATCCAGTCCCTTCCACGTAGATCCCTGCGGATCCGCTTCAGCTCGACCGCACCGGCACCGGTCTCGAGCACCAGCATCCCACGTAGATCCCTGACGTGTGCCGGTCTCGAGCACCGGCACCGGCTGGTCTTCGGCACCCCCCACAAGGTCGCACATAGGCCCCTGCCGAGGTCTCCAAGAGAAGAGATCCACCCGTCAGCTGCTTCACGTGCTTTTTTGGTGAAGAAAGCTCTTTTCGTTTGGAAGAGATCGTGAGCGACCAAACGTGGCACTTGCTATCCACGTGCCACCAAGATCTAGGATCAGGTTTATTTTTTTTTCGGCTTTTGTGGCCTTTGAGTGATTAGATGGGCCCGCCGCCCGCCTTTTGCTTCAGTTGGAGCGCAGGACGGACACGCTGCCGATGGCGCGCGATATGTGCACCTTATGGGAGCTCACGGAAGAGGACAGTGGCCTTGGATCAATGAGCTGTCCCAGACCATGAATGGGATTCAAATATATGCTAGGTATATTACATTCTAGTAGCCAATGGCCTGACCCCTAGCCTAATGGTCACTAGCTGTAACAATTCCAGTGCGGATGGGTGTGGTGATGTGGTAATTGAATCTAAAGTGTACAGACTCTCTTCTTCCAGAGCGGTTCTTCTTTTTGGGTCCATCTCAGTGGGATGAAACGACCAATTGGGTTCCATTGAGCAGGACCCACAAGGCCAATAGAGATGGACGACAGGCACGGGACCCACAGCGCCCCTTTGGACTTTGACCTGAACCCCGGATGAAATCAGATCCTCTTCAAATGGTGAGATCACCATTTATTGAAGCCAAGAGGTTGCCACAGACCTTGCTATTCATTTCTATTCTGGATGCCATTTCGGAGCAAAGCCTACTTGGTGGCCTGTAGGACCTCACTTCCCACAGGATTTCCAGGCCAAACCCTCACTGCGAAGGCCAAACCTTCCGTTTCGAAGGCCTCAAAAGGCCTACGCGTCCGCCAAAACCACCGCGAGCGGAGCGAGGTCCCACGGCGCCGCGACTCAGGTTGGATCGGTCAACTGACGCGGAGCACCTTGAGGCGCCGTACCGTACTAGGAGCAAGGACGCTACTAGGGGCTCCTGGCGTCGTCGTTGGAAGCGGTGGACGGCGATGCGATGACGGCGGCACTCCGGCCGGACGCCTGAAAGATCCCCCCGGATTGGGTGAGGGGCTGGTTGGATCGTGGCTGTTGGGCTTAGTGATCTGTTCCTTTTGATGTATTGGCTCATCACTGGACTGTAATGATTTAGGCTGCGGCTTCGATATAGAAGTTATTCATGATGTGCGGCACTTGCAGGGAGATCGTGGGAGATCTACAAAAAAAAGAAGGATATTGGGTGGAAGCATCCTTATCCCGGGAGTGTCGGAGTGTTAAGATGAGAATGAGTGTGAATCTGGTGATACGTTGCAGGAGGGCACAATGCCCAGTTCGTTTGGATTTCGATAGAGATGCAAAGGGATGCTTGCTCCAGGTGCTCAAGGAGGTATTGGTGGAGTGCTCCAATAATTCACAGATCAGCCGCCCCCTTACAACGGCACTTCTAATATTATCGCCCGGTTGGCGGCATGGCCATCTTTGCAGGCTCTTCAGCCTGAATGTCCACCCCAACGACATGCTGCAGCGCGTGTGTAACCCTGAGAACGGCGGCTACTGCTCGCCCAAGTATCGCAGGACACCGCCGACCGACACCGTGGCGAGGTGACTCTATTGTATAGAACGGCATTGTCTTCATGGAAGGGCAGTCAACATGTGTTGTTTGTAGCTATCTGTTTGGACAACACTAAATTAATCTAAAGTCATAATCTAGAATCTAGAAGATCCTTTCAGCCAAAACAATCCCCAACAGGTACTCTTGGTATGTCATGGTATGTCTATATATATTGGCCTTCGCGGTGTCTCTTCTTCGATGTCAGGATCCACTTTTCAGACATGGTGGAACTGACGAACGAGAAGCCCATTGCGACGATCTCCAACATGGCGCGGCTACGGGGGGGGAACAGGATCGGCGAAATCGTGCACTTTGGACCATGGCGATCCTGTTTTTGTACTAACAAGAAGCTACTAGCACCTCCTGGCCTTACTACTAGGAGCAAGGACGCCACGAACGGGGCTCCTGGCATCGCTACGAACGGAGCATTCTTGCTTCTAGAAACAAGAAGCTATGTGTGGCGATCCAACTTCCGTGTGGCCTGGATTCCTTTTTTCTTCGATGCGCAGTGGGGGCATTTTTGGGGGCACAAGAAATTCACCCGTTATTTTTAGGGTTGTTGATCAGCCAGCCAGGCTCTTTCGCATGCGCTCTTTCTCGAAACCAATGTTTTGCCACTACCATGCATGAAAGCCTTCTTGGCCAGCTCCAGTTTATTCTATATTATATTGAGTTCAAGATTGTCTTTCTTTGCAGCCCAGCTACTGAACCTGAGTCTTCAAAATCCAAGATCCCAAGGTTGCATTGGTTGTTTTAGGATTTGTTGTTGTTCTTCGCACTTACGAACATCCTTCACATGAACGTACTGGATCACGAGATTGCGAACCTCTCGACCCACCCGGAAGCTCGGCGCTTCTTCCCTTCCGTCCGCACCGTCCGCTGAGCCGACCGACCTTAGAGCTCGGCAGGTGACCTTCGCCGTGGTGCTGCTGATCCCGCAGATCTTCCAGCTCGCCCTCCACAAGGAGAACCGACCGGTGTCGCGACGATCCAACAAGGGCTCGACCAGCGAGCCGGTTTCTGTCGCTGGACCTCCAAACCAACACCGTATTGGGCTCCAGGCATGGAGAATCGATGCTCCTTTTTCGACGTGTGTTGGAAGTGATCCCTTTTCAACCCCCCCCCTCCACTGTCCTGAGAGTTCGTCTTCAGAAGCCTCTGCTTTTTGATGCGACACCACGAAGCCTCGCGCGAAGCCTCGCGTTGTTCGACGGACGGCTCCCTTCGTTTGGTTCTCCTTCGGAGTCCGCGCAGAGCTTCACTCATTCTGAAACTCGAGGAGTTTGGTATCAAGTGCCTCGGCGGCTTTTTGCCGCAGCTGATCCCTGACAGCAGTGATCTCACCGCCGAGGATCACGAGGCGAGGGAGCGCGGGACTCTGAACACGGCAGATGACAGGACGTTTCTAAGGTTGAAATCGTCTTCCACAGCCGAATGGCAGTGGCTTGGACTGCACGGACTTCGCCTATTTAAAGGAAAACTTCTGAGGATGTGGTTATTGAGCGCTAGGCCGCTAGGCTTTGCCAAATGGCGGTGCTTCGGAAGTGGGTCAGTTCGTTGCAAAAAGAAAAGCTGCGAGCAGCGCCCTGAACATCCCGCCCTGGAAGGAGTTGAAGTCCCAACAGCTTGAAGAGGAGCTGGCCCACCAGCTCATGCGCAGGCGCGTTCATCCACGGCTCGCGCGTAGCTCGCATTGGGCTGATGGGATTCGCCTGGACGTTTGGGGTAAATCATACTAGCTACAGAATCAGACATGTTGCATGGTAGGTACAGGGTAGCGGGTTTGGATGGACTGACCCCACAAGCCTCAAATCTTAATTGTGTTTCTTCAGGGTACACTTGGCATGTCAATAAGGTGCTTCAGGAGTGATCTCAGACGTTTTTTTTTTCGCTGGACGTTGACGAGTTGGTGGTTCGGAATACAGGCATCAAGTTTTTAGATGCTTTTAGTGAGTTCCTCACATTTGTGGCTTTGAGGCAGTTGTCACACTCTTGTCGCACTGGATATCTTAATCTTGAGACGCTCATCACGTCCTCCCCCACATGAGGATGGTGGTGGTGTGGTGACAATGGTGTGGGAATTGCTCTTGACTGATCCTTGGTGTCAGTCGCATGGGGATGTATATACTTGTACATGGAGGAACCACTATATAATCTACCAGGATGCTTCTTTGGCAACTGATTTACTTGGATGAGTCGAGCGGGAAAAGAACCATCCTCCTGTCTCTTGGCCAGGCAGAGACAGAGAAGCTAAGGCAGGAAGTGGAGAGGCACACAGATTTGTTGCTGGGTTTTTCACGACTGAGTCCACATGGTCATGTCATTTCATGATGTCATTTCAGAAACAAGTGGTACACCTCGGAGACTTGGCAGGTGGAGATGGGAAATTGAGAGGATCAAGAAGGATTTCCGGTCGGACCTCCAGTCTCCGGCCAAGTCGGGGACTGCCAGTCCGAACGCCATTCGCAATGGACCGGGCTGACCCGTTCAAGCGCGATCCGGTCGCAGAGCTGCAGAATCCTGCAGACCTCCCCGCGGATGAAAAGCGAAGATTGGAGCGGGAGAGTGGGAGAGTGGGAATTCCCAGGGTTGAAGATGGGGTTGAAGCATATGGACTCGATTACAAGATTTGAAGGCTGCAACATGGTGCAACCTAATTTTCGGTGCAGTCTCTATTCCAAGATCTTGAAGGTTTGGACGTTCTCCGCAGACGGTCTCAGACTGTCTCAGTTGCTCGGTTCACCCGCGTGGACACGACCCCTGGTCGTCACCCCAAGGACTGGCTGGTGGAGAAGTTCAACCTGGACCTGTCGCTGGTCGCCCGCTTGGGCGGCCATTCGCAACCGCGCACGCACCGAGGGAAGGAACGATTCCCAGGAATGACCATCACTTATGCGCTGATCCAGATGTTGGAGAAGGCGCAAGGATTTTTTCGTGATGCTTTTGGGGGGGTGGATGAGAGAATGTGATGGAGCCAGGGGTGGTTTGAGGCAGGGGGTGCTCATGATCAGTTTCGGGATCGAACTCTTGGAGTTGCAGAGTCGAACTCTAGCCACTGAGTGGTGGAGATCTGGCTTAGAGACATGTGTTTGGCTGTGCACTATGTTGGGAGATTGGAGATAGAACCCCTTCAAACAACAGTCCAAAAGCCACATCACACTGTGTACAGATTGGGCCAAGACCTTGGATGGAAGTGTTCAAACCATTTGTACGGCGTGCAACCGTACCAATTACATGGCTCTTTCTTCCTGGTTCTCCCGAACGAGTTGTGACCGAAGCACTGATCCCCAGGTTGGTTCGGTCAAGGCTTTTTGTTGGCCAAGACCCTGGTCACAGGTCTAGGCACTCCACAGCCAGGTCTAGGCACTCTGAAGCTGAACCGATTCCTTGTCGTGGAAGAGTGATTCATCCTCCGCCGTTCGTTCGGCGGACGAAGAGGTCACTGCCGGCTGTCCACAGGTGGCAGAGAAGACGGACCTGGCGCGGATCATTACGAAGGACTGGGGACGAGGGAGGGAGCACGATTGGAACGACCTTGGAGCACTCTGCTACTTACACAGAGCCAACATTTGGGATGGATGTTGGGGATGTTTGTGTTCCATTCTTTTCTCATAGAAGTCGGCATTTTTCAGGGATGTACTTTTGAATCATGGCCGATAGTTGTCCTTACATGGTCACATGGTAGTCCCTTTGTAGCAGGGCAAAGGAGCTCCACCGAGGCCTCTTCAGGTCGCAAAGATTTCACTGTGCATTTTGTTCATGGTTGGCTTCACCGCGCCTGAGTCGTCACGGGGTGCTTGTGGGAAAAAACATATCCCAGCCACTCCATGAGACTGGTGGTTTGAGGGGTCAATGTAGGCATTCATATTATGACATACATGGAGTGTCTGGCTATGAGTGACCCAGCATCCGTGGCAGGCCAAGGTCTTCAAGCTCGTCACTGAGGGGAACGTGTGCGTCGGCTGTGTCTATGCGCCTTGGCACTCCCCGCACTGGCGCGGAGGGGCACGGAGTCGGTTCCGTCCGTGTTTTCCCACCAGTTTCAATGTTACACTCCGCAATTCGGTCCACATGGAACCTGAAAACCACTGGGTTGGTATTCGGACTTCCTCGTCTTCCGTGTGAATCTTCGGAGCACGGGGTGGCGACCAGCGCAGCACCTAGACATCGACACATGAGGTGTCCAAAAAAAAACCACCAGAACTCCGTTCTGCTCGCAATGTGTTTTGTGTAAATATGGTGTAGAGTTTAGCAAAGAAATGAACCAACCAACACCATCACCGGGTCGGGGTGGTCTCTTCTGAACCATACCCCCCCCGGTGTCCTCTTCTGAATGGGTCGAATGGTCTCGTTTTGACATGCGACTCGGAGCGCCGTGGCGCGGGTGGCGAAGGTGTGGCGAGGCAAACCCGATTGGACAGCTGTGAAACCAGGAATGCCTGGAGATGCCTGGAGATGGGCTTCCCCGGAATGCCTTTCCACCATCTGAAAACCGCTATTCTCATGCGCACTATCTATATATACATATATAGTGGGATGTTCTTCCAGGTGTCTTGTCATTTGATGTAATTTGCATTTTGACCATTACAGGAAGAAAATGAGCAAGCCACTCGATGAGCTGCCACCAGCAACAACAAAAGCAGGAACATTCCTCCAGAAATAGGGTCAAGGGTCAAGGCGTCGAAGCAACGGCGTGTGCACGAATTCGCACCACGGTGCACTTGGGGTGGTGATCGGAGGGAACATCGGTTCATATAGGTGTCTCTAAACCACCCGAAGTCCTGCGTGCTGGGGATCCCGCTCGAAGTGATGTTTGTGCCTCGCCTGACTAGAGTTCAGTCGAGAAAAACGAGCAATGTCATCCAATATATACCCAAGAATCCACGCCATCAAAATCATCAAATGGACGCAAGGATTCTTAAGATTCTTAAGGAACAAATCTGGTCCAAGTGTTTAACCAATTGATCCAGCACTTGGATCGATTAGCCAGGAGAAGGGTGGTCAGAACTTCCAGGAGTTTGGCCCTGTGATCTTGGCCTCAGGCGCGTTTTTCTTTGCATGCACAGGCCCGTTAGCATATCAAGTGAAGAAAATGCATCTAATCTAAAGAAGTCAAATTCAGGAGCTATCCTGAACTGACCTTTTCCACCATGATACCGGGAAAATATCATGTCATATATACAGTGGACCTGTGTAAAAATGATTCTTGGGTGGCTCCATGGGGGGGTACCCGTTTGACCTTCCTTTTGATAGGCAGGGGCAACAAACATATATCGTCGATCCTCCAAAACAGGGTTCACGCAGAAGCTACAAGGTCTTATACCTGGATCTTGCAACTGTGCAGAATTTCTACCTGCATGTTCATCTAACGGACGCCCAGTTCGCTGCAAATTCTGCAACGGTTGGAAGATGCATGCGGATCTGCATTTGTGGACCATCGAAACTGTCGCAACGGATCTGCGATGGGATGAGATTTTCGGCCTGTTTACAGGCGGAGAAAAGGTGGCCCGCTTTTCACTGTACTGTAATTATATGCATATAATTACTGTAGAGCCTGGGAGTTGTAGTTTCTGTTAATGTTTTCGGATGTTTATAATAGGCGACCCGAGAAAGGAATTTCCTTTACTTCGGGGGTGCCAAACGATCGTCGAACCGGACTTCTATCGGACTGCTTATGGTAGATGACTCCTGAGATTTGGATGCCCTGCGCCATCTCCCATCTGGGTGCTGCAAGCACAGGCGGCTTCGGGGCGGATTTCACCAGCAACTCCCTCCTGGCGCAATACCGACCCGATCTGCTGCACTTGCCCACCACCAACGGCCACTTGTCTCTGAAGTGAAAAAAAACACAGTGGGAAGCGGTCCAGGAGGTCCTAGGTGCTTGTTGGAGGGATTGGGGAGGAAGGGGAGATGTCTGCGGGCTTTCAGAGAATTAGCAGGCATGCAGGGAATCTTCCAGGGTGGATGCAGGGTCACAGTCCCGCCATCAGCAGGCTGAAGTTACAGAATCATCCCCTCAGACACTCCATAGTATGCGACAATTCCACACGTGGTCTAGCAATCTTTGGGATCTCATTCAATTAATAAAGTCGTCTAAGTCGTCTTTTTTCCCGTTTCTCCATGCCACACCTGACAAAAAGTGCCATGCCACTAAGGTGAGCACTGCACCGGAGATGGCATCAAGATGGGAGTGGCTCGGAGCGTGAACAAGACGTCGTGCAGCTTTTGTCACGTCTTGACCTTCGTGGGAGATGAAGACGTCAAACGCTCCTATACTGACATACCCTGGGGCTCCAACAACAGCAGAAGAGGCTGACCCGAAAGAAGACCGGCCGCCACCCCCTGTTTCCTTCGAGTCCCGGAGAGATCGACGGATCAGAGGAGCCCCCCCCTGGGATGGACGTGTTCCCCGAATCCTCCAAGAGCTCCGAATCCTCCCAGACCGAACACCATGGGATCTGGTGTTTGGATGTGTCGACTCTAGGGGATTCCCTACATGGTCCCTATAACGTTGGCAGTTCCTATAACGTTGGCAGTTGGCACCGCCACGAGATGGTCTTGGGAGAAGAACGAGACTAAGCCAAATGGTTTTAGTAGTGGAGTATGGTTTGTCTATAATTCGTGAGCATGAAGGAACCGGACCAAGAATCATCAAGAATCCTTCCCAATTTGAGGGTCCTGGATTGTGATCGGGGAACTTTATGGAAAAAAGAAGGTAGCAGGTAGCGGGCACCGTAATCGTCCCACATTCTTTTTTTGCATCAGGCTTCAAAGGAGTCATGTTTTTCTCAGTGTTTTTTTTTGTGTTTTGTCTTGATGCACATCACCCAAAGTTGTGGTATATTCCTTCTTCGACGACGCTCCTGTGTCCTTCCACAGCGATCCTGTGTGGTTGCGACGCCATTGGAAGGCATGTGCATAAAGCTCAAGCTACTCATTCAAATCTTTCTGGCCATCTTTACAAGCCAGCTCTCTGGGCATGAACATCTTGAGGTCCCGCCACATTCGGTCGCATACTTGCGTCCCGGTCAATCGAGAACTTCTTTACAAATTGCCAAATTGCATATCCTTGTGAGACACACTCTTGTGACAATCTTTTGTTTACCACAGAGTGATTGCGAAAGCAGTTGTATAGCGTGCAACGCTTGTCATCACCCTGACCCCACCCCATGTTCTCGACACACATGCATGCAATCGAACGTGATTGGACATCACATGATGCAATCAAACCGTTCAAAAAACACACAAAAAGAAACACCACAAACAAAAAATATAACCACGGGACCGTTACCTGGACCCTCCAAGGGGTGTCCAATGGACTACCCCACACTACCGGCCTAGGCTTCCAGGTCCAGGGCACCCCGACAGGAGGGTCCAGGTGCAGAACCCGTTAGCAGAACCCAAACACCTCGGCCTCGCCTCTATGAGCTGCGTTGCCCGGTGTGCCCGCTTTTCACGAACGGATGTTCATCGGCTCTCCATGAAGGGTTTGCATTTTTTCATTGGGGCTTCTCTGTAAAGTAAGGGAGGAGAGCTCTGCCTCGGGGTTTGGAGAGCTCTCGACCCTGAGGATTTGGAAGAACGAAACCAACCCAAAACATAAAACGAAGCGCTCCTTAGAGGTTGATTGCAATGCATTTTGCAAAAACACACACTTCGACCAGGTTCATGCAGTAATCCATAGTGTAGCTAGGTTGGTGATCTCGCGCCTTGACCCCCTGCTCTGAAAGACCCTTGGTTACAGGGTGGGACACACACACACACACACACACACTCCCTTTTAAACCTGCACCCCATCGACCAACAGGAAGCGATCGGTGCGAAGACCATCGACCTCGAGTGGGTCCAGGCGACACGTCCGGAACGGCGGGACTGCCGCCCCAGAAAGACCCCTGAAATCAACCACACCAATGTATGGATGCCAGTCCCATGGAGCGTCTGGGTGATATAGTAAAAAAACATACACAAACCATTATATACATTATTAATTATATACCAGGACCACGGAAGGGGTGGTTATTGGATGGAACATACATAGTCAGGGGTGTCCATATACCCTCCTTTCCGCGGTCTGGTAGATGTATAATGCGACATATGAACAAATGCCTGTTGTATTTTTTTTAATTGTTTTTCTGATATATACCTAGGTCAGTACCTAGGTCTTCCAACTATGCCACGTTTCTGCCTTTTCATCCATAAAACCAGCCCAAAGTCAGATATGTTGCATAGTTGGAGTATATAACCCTAGGGCTCCAACCATACCCTCAGAAGGTGGTTAGACCCCCCCAAACACACCCCAACCATCTTCTCAGGAGGTGGGCCAGGAGCCCTAGGGTAAATAGGTGGCCAGGTGACCGAAACTGCCAGTTTTAGAATCCTATTTTGGATCGTTGCAAACTAAGCCGACTGATGAGTGTTTCTTTAAGTTTTTAACACTAATTTTAAGAGGGAGGTAGACTGGTCTATTTTCGGGGGGTTCTTCCAGCGTGTCGGTCTCCCCATTTCAATACACACCGATCTGTTCTAAGTTCAACCGATGCCCACCGGTGGGATTCGGGCGCCTTCCGCCCTTCGTGCCAGGTGCATCCCACCGGCCTGGTGAAGCCAGACGACGCGGATGCCAAGATCAAGTTCTTGGCCGCCGAGGCCGATGGGACGGACGAAACGGGTGTGAAGCTTAGAGGGGACGAAACGAGCGGAGGAAACGGGCAGGACCTTTTGGGGGGGGGGAGGCGGACCTTATACGTCCAAAAAACGAGGAGCCGGCGCTCTTTTGGAGCCGATGACCTCGTTGGTGTCCCTCGGGAGCACCCCTCTGGACTCCCCGACTCTGGACCATGGTGGTCGTGTTGTTTCTTCCTGTTGAGTGCATTCAAAGTCTAGGCCCTGCGTGGAGTGGGTGGTCTCATCTTGAACGCGGATGGCAAGCGCTTCTGCAACGAGCTGGGACGCTGGGGGCACCCAGAAGTACGTGACCCAGGAGTTCGTGCGGTGTTCCATCGAGTTCGGTTGGTTGAACGAAGGAACCGGAGAGTGTGGGGTTTTGCCTAAGAACACTCAACTTTTGAGACTAAATCATATCATTCTCAATCCATCGCTTTTTTTACATGACGGCTGGGAACAGGAGCTTTTGTAGGTTTGTGTGGAGAATTTGGCTGGTAGGGTTGACTGTTTTCAGGGAGTTTTCACAAAGCCACTTGAGAGTGGGCTTAACTACTTGTGGGGGGGTGGGCAAGGTGCTTGTGAGTTTGCTGGCCAAACAGCAAGAAACGGACTGAATCTACTCAGCTACTTTGTCTCCTTTTGCACATGGTTTAAAGTTTAAAGTAGGCCACCAGGAGTAGCTGAGCGGTTGCTTGAAAACATCAGGCCGAGACTATGTCACTGGCGAAATGTGGAAGAGCAAGCCGCCCTTCAGGCAGGATCTGGTGAGGGTCAATCATGAAGAAATTCGTTTTGGCACGAGCCAAATACTTGGAAAGGCGAGGACTGGTTTGTTGCTGAGGAGAATAGTATCCAAATCTCAGGGACTCACTTGGTTGAACCCATGTTCTACCCTAAGAATCCGGGCCCGAAGCCTCCAATGAAAAGGGCGCCAGCTTTGGTGTGACCGGTCGGCGCTCGATCACTTCGGCATACTCATGCACTTCGCGAGTCCCAGTTGGCACCAAGGATGGGACTCCCGGTGCGTAGAGTCGGTAGGTTGTTTGGTCCATGAACTAGTAACAGGTGAATGAAATCATTCTGCACCATATTACCTACAATCATTGGGGCTCCAGATCCTATGACACAATGGTACACAAGTTGTTACAAGCATTCACCAGAATACACTGCCTTGGTGGGTGATATACTCACCACTTGAGACAGGCAGCGATTGGAGACAGCTTCGCACCTTCAGCTCCGAAACACGGCTTCGCACATTCATCGGACATCCTTTTTCAGGCGGTACCCTTTTCTCCGCCGGCGCGTGCGTCATGAGTGATTCGAGTCCTCCGGCAGTGTCTGCATGGAAGGATCGAGGTCGAACTAGGCGCGCCATGATGTGCCATTTCGATCCGCACGAACTTGAAGTGACAACGACATCGCCGTGTTCCGCCTCTTGCACAAACTCTTCTGCGCATTTGTGCGCAGACTCTCTTTGTGCTCCGAGTGCAAATGACCTAAGTCGATCGAAGTGTTCTTCGACGTCCACCGAGCGCCACAGCTTCGTCTGGTCCCGCCGGCTGGCCGGCAACTCGGAGATGGGTTGGGCGAAGGGAAACCTGCCGAAGCCTGGACACAAGAAAACACCAAAAACACCTCGCGGCAGGCTGTGCCTCAACAAGGCAGCGTCGGATGAGATCATTTGGCACTGCAAGCCGGGATCTCGGTGCCGATGTGCGGGCCGCCGGTTCAACGATCCGATGATCCCGATTCGGAAGAAAACCGTCGGATGGGTTAGAGTACCCCTATGGAGCCGTGTTCGTCTCAGGAGAATCGGTACGACTGGACCGTTTTGGCAAGCGCTGCCGGTGTCGAAGACTTCCTCACCTGCTGAGGTTCGGTACGACTGGATCCCTAGGGGTACTCTTCAACATATTCACTGATCCTCATGGACAGGATCATATAGGAATCCTAAGGAATCCATTGACGGAGGGGGGGGCGCTTTCAGTGACGGGAGTGGATTTTTGTTGCTCACCTGGCTGCAGTGTGGAAGGTTTTCAAGAAGTGTTGGAGGGTCGTGGAATTTGGGGGCGTTTCAATGTCTCCAGCAAAACCACTGAGCCTTCCTCTTTTGCGACCCTTAATGGAATGGACACCCTTGCCCTTACCTTCCAAGAAGCACCCCAGTCGTATCTTTGAAGAGCCATACATAGATTTGGGTAGTACTTCCATCCAAAAGCACAACCCTTCGCATAGATGCCACGACCTGATACAACGTCGTTGAATGGGTTGGAGATAGTCCCCAGCAGGTCAACGTTCTCGTTTAACTGGGCCTCTTATAACGTGCTAGTTAAACTTGGCCTCGGCCACAAGTTACTTTCCTACCTACCTACCTACCTACCTATACCTATCTGTGTAGATGATCTGTGATCTGGCTCGGTCGGAATTCCTTCACTTGGGTGTATCATGCAGTGTATATTTAGATGTGGGAGACTCTTGTCATGCGCACAGTCAAAATCATACACGCGCACCGTTGACGCTAGCTAGTCAAAACATGACATGGATCATGTGCATGTTCCTCGGCGCTTAGCGGATAGTGCGATGGTGCACCGGATGATCCGCTACGTATGTCCCTCTCTTAGACGCAACATGCATGTGCTATATGCGCCGATCGCTATAGCCAGCCGTCAGCCCTAGGCCATCATGAAAAGATGCGCATCCTTGTTGAGCCAGCGCCCCAACGTATGCATACACACGTGCTTTCGAGTTTGAGGCGTACAGTTGATTGGGATGATGTGGTACGTTCTTGGTTTTGGATGTTTGGGCAGCCGCCTTCGGCCCAGTGTATGAGGCCGGAGCTTGATTGAAGATGATGCGATCTCCGAAGCCACCGACACTGATTTAGGTGCCATCACAGGTGTGCTATAGAAACATTGCACTCGAAGTTGGCTGACATGTGCAATTCTAGACTCTTCTTTGGGTTCAAACCGTATTCGCATGGCTCATTAACTGAGACGCGTGTATATTGCAAGAGATGTGAGTGCTTTATAAACTTAGGCCCAGCAGGGTAGACGCATATGCATATACAGAACCAGGTAATTAGATCTAGACGTCCAATATTCTTCCCACGAACCCACTTTTACTTTTGGCTTGGCCATTTGCTGCGGCTGCGGGTGCTTTGTCGCGATGCCGGACAGCAAGCCTCGGGAGACCAACACAGCATTGCTTGAGGAGACTGTGCATGTACTTGGCACTTGGTGTGGTCTTGGGGCAGGGGAATGGATCAGCTGGGCAAGAAATAAAATTGCCTGTAGGAGCTTTACAATGAATTCCTTACTAGAGATGGCTACATCAAGGAGAGGATGGACAAGCAAAAAAAAAGCGAAGTCCAAAGGAAAGAAGGCTTGGCCAGTAGTTCCTGACTACACGTATCTATATAACTGTACCATCTGTGTCTATTGGATTCGCAGGTCCATGGTTTCAGCTTCCTTGACACCACAGGAAAAACCATCAATGAGGACGAGGCCTTGGGCTAGTCAGTTTTTTCCTTTTTCCACAACCCTGGTAACCCTGGGTTCAACGGTCATATGCGCCCTCAAAAATTCCAGGTATGCAGCAGTCACAACAACTTCGACTTCATGGCTGCATATGTTGGAAGCTTCGCTGCAAATCTCCCAACTATGAAGGAGGTGAAGGTGCCCCTTTAGTGAGTGCGTTTTGCCAAGAGGTTGACTTCATTGCAAGATGCTTATATATATATATATACAGGTGAATTAGTTGCTTCAACAACAACGTTCCTCACCACCTTTCTCCTCTTCCAGGTGGCTTTGATCAATGTTAGCAAGGCGCACAGGTTGAATGACTTTGGCGAGAACGCACAGGGCCGAAAGAAGTTGGAGGTAGCCATCATGCATGATGCATGGCATGATCGTGGTACAGTAGATCTGTCGCTGGCCACCACCCCTGGATCTGAGCATCCGCACTGTCAGGCTTGGGCTGAATTGGAAGGCGGCCTTCAGCGTGGCTTCGCATCGTACATTTGCTTTAGAGCAAGGCGGAATTCTGGGACAAGGACTGATAGTTAAGAATACTAGAGTCATCTACGTAGCACCCAATCCACTTGAGTCAAATATATGTTGGGCGTGAGTGCTTCCTCTCCAACACTATAGCTAGCTATGTACATATAACAGAAAGAACGTGCAAGGAGAGGGCATGAAGCAATGGGCAAGCTAAAGGAGATTGCCCAGATCGTGAAAGAGGCCAGGGAAATCAACAAATACCTCTGATGGGATAGCAGTCGACTTGTCAGGAAGCTGCAGCTGTAAAAGAGGATCCTACCCAAGTGGCCTAGCCCCCCAGAATATCCGGATCAAATGTCCACTGTTTTGCACAGCAGCCAAGTCAGTCTTTGCCGTTTGAAAAATATCTGACGGTGCGTGGCTTTCATAGCAGTGCAGCACCGCAAGTCTCCCCTTTGCTGAGGCTGAGGGGTCAAAGGGTCCTACAGCTGAAGGTGGGGAAGAAGAAAAGCGGACTGACGATGAATGTGTGGAAACCGGTGAGCATGATCTTGATGACACGAGTCAACCGGATGATGTTGGTGACGAGTGTGAAGAGGGTGAGGCAGGAGAGGGTGAAGATGCTGGCAAAGATGATTTTGAAGAAAACGAAGATAAAAAGGGCACCTATAAGGACCAGAAACTCACAACTCAAAACTATACAGCTGTATATTTATAGAGAAATTGTTTATAAAAATACTCGGACAAACATTGCAGGATCGTGCTCCAGTGACTCCGAAGCCCACTCCCTTGGCAGCAGCGGCCCTAGAAGCATTTGAGTCGCTGGCCAAAGACTTGGAACCCAACGACCTCGATGATGATATCCTGAAGGCGGAAATTGTTCTTGCAGGTCCCCTTGGAGCGTCATCCAAAAGACTACTATCTAGCTATATAGTGTTTCTGTGGTCAGGCCCAAAAAGCACTCCGCAAAGCAAGTGATGATCGAGGGGAGGAGAGCTCTCAGGTCTCATCGAATTTGGCAGCCAAGAAACGGCCAGCTGGCAGGGGCCGCGCAAGGGGGCGCGGGAGGGGTCGAGGCAGGGGGCGTGGTCGTTCCAAAGCACAGCCTAAGCCCGTTCCCGATCTCATAGGTAAGTCATCCCCAGCTGCAGCAGCATCTAATGAAGAAGAACCGTCGAAGAAGCGAAAGACTTCAAAAGCCGCAGAGGATTGGATTTGTTAATTCATAAATTTATGCGCAGGTTGCAGGATACAGGTCTATATATATAATACAGTCTGCCCAGGAGGCTCCAAAGAAGCCAAAAGGATCATCTGATCAAATGGATTCCGATTGGGAAGCCTTGCAGAACATTGCCAAAGGGGACGATCTCATGGACATGCCTGTAGAACAGAGACGGCTATGACCTTATTATGCAGTCCTCTGTGGTGGTTTTTGGGGGGTGGACCGCTTTCCTTTCTTTTTGTGCTTTGGCATCCGTTTTGGGGTCCTGTCAAGGGCACTTCATGCTGGGGTTGTGAGTACCCAGGTCTTGGACACTTCGCGGTCCTCAGCCAGATGATCCAACCATCGGAGTTGTGTTGGAACCTCAGCCGCCCGGTCCACTCAGAGTTGAGCCACTCACAACAACGAGGCTGTATGCAAGATCCTTTTATCTGAAGAAGGTCGATGGCAAGAGGTTGAAAAAATACAACAAGGCACACGATAACGACTTGAAGGCCGGCCATATAAACTTCAAATTCCAACACACGTGTGTATATATGTTCTGGGCCCTGAACATGTCCATTTTGATTTATAATATTAATATTGGTTCCGAAATGGGCTAGGTCCATGGTGTCCGTTTTGTAGCCGAAGCCTTTAGTGTGATGGTCTTTTGCAGGCACCTGGAAACATTATAGAATAGCTTTGGGGGTAGCACTGAGCTGAGCGTTTTCCTGGTCGTTCAGACCAACGCACAAGATGGCCTCACCCTTGGATGGCATCGGTACGACACTCTTGCGGAAGCGCCCATCACTCAGATTGAAGTTTGTCGGCTCCCATGTTGTGATCGTGGGGGTTTCAAACACGCCTGAGTCATGAGGTGGTTGGCAGCGAAGGTGATCGCGCATTGGACTTGCGATCCGGACCTCGGTGATTGAGTAGTAGATCCGTAGAACTTGCCCACCACCTGTCAGGCTGTTTCGGCAAAGCTGCAAAACAACTGGGCCTGTGCAATTTCTTCTCTTCATACTCAATGCATTTCAATGCCATGTGACCACATATCTAAGCATAAATATTTATAATGCACAAACGATGTGGTCACCTGGCCTGTCTTGATCATATTAATGGGGAACTGCTGGCACTTACAGGCTGAAGTCTAGACCTATATAAACTATGCGCAAAAGCATTCTTAAGGTTCAAAGCTTTTGTGAGGGAGGTAGCGCAGGCTGGCGACAATGCCAAATCATTGGAGTAAGGGACCGATGGCCCTGACTCGATCCCAGAGCGCTGCCTTGATCGCGTGCGGGGTTCCACTGATTATGCGTGATCCCCAGGCCGCGTCGTCCACCGAGATCTACACATTCTCATGCCACCATGCCCAGGGTGCACCTTTGTGACTACATAGCCCAGACATTCGAGGAACCTCGCGTACAAACCTGAGTAACCTGCGCATGCAGTGAGGGCAAATTGCTATAAATAAGCACTATATTGCTCGAT